CCAACAACCGGTTCTCTGAACTGCTTAGAAAGTTATCAACCGGTTCTCCCGAATAGGCGCGAACCGGCTGAATCCCACCACTGGTATTGCTGCACTTAAGTGAAACCAAGAATAACACAATATGCTTTGCTCTATCAAGCAGTTGGGACATATATTCTGTATGTAGAGATAGAAATGAGAGGGTGGGGGAGGGAGGGAGGCACACACAGAGAGAGACACACACACAGAGAACAAAGCTTATTCAGATCCAGTTTGCAGCTGTCTGAAGTGATAATCATCTTCTTTTTTTTGCCACAAATAAAGTGTCTCTAATCTTAAAATCTGAGCAACAGGAACCTGCCAATTTAGTTTGCTGGATTCATGCTCAGTCAGCGTATCAGAATCCTGAGAGGAGTATAATGGAGTACACACATATTAGTTATCCATTACAACATTTGATTGTGAACTTGTTCTGGGGCAAATAATTTGCTACAATTTGCACATGACTTTACTTGCTATTCATTTTTTCCCCCTTGCATTGTAAAATTTGCTTGCATGATTGGATCACAGTGGAATTGAGGCTTTTACTATTTTTATTCTTACATCACTTGGCTATTCAGAAATGTAATTGATTATGTTGTTTTATGGTTTCTGATACTTTAAACAACCTCGTGGCCCATTCAAATGAAAAGCAAATGAAGAAATGCAAATAAAAGTGCAAATAAAAATGCAAATAGAGAATACAATAGTTGAACGGATGTTTGATTTGTAGATAGAGATAGATATAGGTAGATGATGGAGATAAGAGATAGAAGACAGTGATGCATTCTGCTAGCTGAAATTACATCATCAGCTAACTAATTTTACTAGAAGTAGGATTTGGTTTGTAAATTGGTTTTAGGAGCAAATACTAGGAAGAATAACGAATATTCATAATTGAAGCGGATTTTTCCAACATGGTGTCATTACTGAAACTAGTATTCATTGAAAATCTTCCATTCCATCCAATCGTTCCATAAAGACTTCTTTGCACTGATATAAAACATTCAGGATCAAAAGGACTTTGATGACTACCATGTGGAAACTGTTTTAATGAGAGAGAAAAGTACCTTTGCAAAATCTTTTACGTCGAACAAATCAAAGACCTCAAAAAGATCACTTTTCCGCAGACCAAACTTCTCGCAGCAGGTAGCAAGGAAGGTCCGGATATTCTTTAGGCACAGGAACTGGAAAGGAAATGTAAAGAATACACCATGAGGCTGTCGGAAACAGGTGATATTGAGTAAGGACATTAGCAAGCAGGTCATCGTACTAAATGTGTAGTTAATTCAGTCAAAACACTGAACAATTTCTGTTTGATTACACTGGGTTTAGATTTAGATTTTTAGATTTTATTTATTATTTATAGGCCGCCCTTTTCCCTNTATTGCTATTACATCTAATGATTTAGTTAGTCAAGGCTTATGCTGCAATGAAACTATTGCCCCATAAATTTTTCGTCATAAAGCCGTAAGATGAAAGCAAATTATCCATTCAATATTTTTGTCTATTTGGATGGGAAACCTCTGATACACATTCTCTGGGTTCTTCTTCCCCCAGCTAAGTTTAAAGCACTATTCATTACCCTTTGATCTTGAAGAAAAGTAGAATAACATAAAATTTCCTGCCCCCGCAGGCAAACCCAATCATGTCAGAGATGGTGCTGCTCTTATTTATAGTGCAAATGGAGCCTTAAGGACAAGCATGTGGGGATCTCCCAGCTTTGCTGTCATTTTCAACCAAAAGTTGTTAGCTGGCAGGAAGATATCCATCACACTCCTTAATGTGTGAATGGGGATGGGGAAGGGAAGGAGGCAAGTGATCACGGGCAGCTGGACTGAATCGGCTTAGCCACCTCACAAAACTTCCTCTAATTCTAGAGTATCAGTTGCTTTTAAAGATGGGATTAACATTATTCCAGAACAATACAGTGGAAATCAATAATTCATGGGTTCTCTGCAATTCTCCTCAATCAAAAGGACATTGAAATAGGATAATCTTCACAGTCTTGCAAAATTCAAGTAGATCCAGGACCAATTTGTACCGGCATAGGAAGAATGATCCAAAATGCAAAAGTCACTGTTGAAAAGACTTAATGTCTAATCAATGCCACCTTTACCTCCAGGGAGAATAGTATCCTCAGCAAACCTTTTTTCAGTGTTTGGGCTGAGCAAACAAAATTACATCTGGCGAGGAGGTTCCTGATGTACCTTAATGCCATACTATATAACTGCCACTCAAATTGAGCCAAGAGGCAGCAAGGTCCATTCCTCCTAATGGTGCTGCTGGAAACACCCTCCCACAAGGGTGGCCCTGAACAGGACCTGGAGCAGGTGACACCAGGATCAGATGACAAGTCTATCAGGTAATTCCTGTCTCTACACATGGATCAACAGCCGTATATTATGAGTAGCAACCAGAGGTGGGTTCCTACCAGTTCACACCTATTTGGTAGAACCGGTTCGTCAAATCTACCGAGCCTCTTCAGCTGAAAACTTGTGTTTTATTTCTAACCCATCTTCAGTTGAGGCGTGGCATTCTCCA